GAAAATGACACTCATCCATTCTATAAATATTTTCAATAGTTTCTCATCTCTCCAGAGGCCACCTTGACAAGAAGAAACATAGATGAACTCATTTGAGAAATCAGTGAATCTTCTTTTCTGAGAAAAGTATATAATACCACACTTTGCATATTGATTTAGTAGGGTTTTTCTTTTTTCAAAAAATATATATATCTTATTTCAGAATATTATAGGGGTATAAACATTTTGGTTACCTAAATTGCTTTTATACTGTTTAAGTCCAAGTTATAAGTGTGTCCATTACCCAGATAGTGTGCATTGTACCTGTTAGGTGTAAATTTACCCATCCCCTTCTCTCCTCTCCCACTTGCTAGATTTCTGATGAATGTTATTTCTATTTTGTGCACATAAGTGTTGATCCATTAGTTCCAAGTTAATGGTGAGTACATGGAGTGTTTGTTTTTCCATTCTTGCGATACTTCCTTAGAAGAATGGTGTCCAGTTCCATCCAGGTTAATATAAGAGGTATTAGTTCACCATTTTTTAATGGCTGAGTAGTACTCCATGGTATACATATACCACATTTTATTAATCCACTCGTGTATTGATGGCCACTTGGGTTGTTTCCACATCGTTGCAAGTGTGAATTGTGCTGCTATAAACAACAACAAAAATAAATAAATGGGACCTGATTAAATTAAAAAGCTTCTGCACAGCCAAGGAAACAATCAAGAGAGTGAGTAGACAACCTATAGTAGGTTTTTTTTGAAGCACTTGTCATCTGCCAGACAATATTGCAAGCACTTCATAAATATTAACTTATTTAATCTTTATTATAAATGTATGAGGTAGGTCCTATTATTGTTCCCATTTTACAAATGGAAAATTTGGAGCACAAGAAGGTTAAATAACTTCTCAAGGTTAAGTAACTCTAAAAAGGTATGGATTTGCACATGCCTCATGGGGAAAGGAGATGAAGCACTTGGCAGATGATACAATTTTCCTCATGAAACACAAATAGTCTGAATAAACATAGCATTTTGGGGAACAAACTAGCCTTCTCAAACCCAAGAATCTTGATTTGATATACGAGAGATTTTTCCAGCCAAGTATCCATTCTCTCTTCTAGCTATAGCAACTCGATTTTCTTTTAGAAGAACCACTCTCCCTCTTCTAAGCCATGTGGGTTGAGTGGCCGTATCCAACCATCCATCTCCAAGGCTGGGAAAGAGAAGAGCACACGACCTGCGCAGAGACCAGAGTGTTATGGCAATGGAGTGGGTTAGGGAACCCGACTTGTAGTTTATGGCTAAAGGGGACCAGATGCTTATCTGTAAGGAATATTTTACTCCTTTCCAAAATAGCAGGAAAGGTCGCAAGTCAAAGTGTTAATAGCTGGTAATTCTGGATGGTGGGAAAGGAAAGAAAAGAAAAACAAAAAAGAAAAGAAACAGACATTTTTTGAAAGAAAAATATGAACTTTGCCATAAACATTTTTTTCTTTTCTTATTATGTAAATCTTTCCAGGAGATACTTAAATGTCATAACTGTATTAGTTTTCTATTGCTGCTGTAACAAATGGTCACAAATTTCATGGCTTAAAATGATACAATTTTATTATCTGACAGTTCTGGAGGGTAGAAGTCTAACATTGATCTCACTAGGCTAAAATCAAGGTCTTAGCAGGGCAGTGGTCCTTTATGGAGGCTCTAGGAAAGAATCTGTTCCCTTGTTTTTCCCAAGGTCTAGAAGTCACTCACATTCTTTGGCTTGTGGCCCTTTTCTCCATTTTCAAAGCCAGCAAGATTGCACATCTCTGACCATTCTTCTGCTGTCACATTTTTCTCTGGCAACAGTGGGGAATGTTCTTCAATTTTAAGAACCTAACCTTAGATTAGGTTAAATTGGGTCCACCCAGGTAATCCAGGATAATCTCAAGATCCTTAATTATATCTGCCAAGCCCCTTTTGGCAAGTAAGGTAACATATTCACAGTTTCCAGGGATGAAAATGTGGACCTCTTTGGACAGTGGGTCATTATTCTGCCTACTACAATAATCTACAGTAGGAAGACATCCTACATCTGTAAATTAAAGGTTCTTGTAAGGCTCTCCTTCATTTAGCATGCTATCTCTCTGAGAAGACAAAGTTTTTATTCAATTTTAAATTCACAGCAGTGAGGGTTCCTTTTCTGATTATGCATAAGTGAGAATAAAATTTGCTGTACATTTTAAAAATAGAAAACAATGAGAAATTTACATGTTCATAAGGTGGTTGTCATCAAATTAGCCAGGAAGATCTCAAATTAAAGTTATGACAGAGCTGTCTTCTAGATTTTCCTCAATGAAGAGATGGGCATCTAGGCATCCTTTTTTCTGATTGTTGCATTGCTATAGCAAGTCACTTTGGCTAAAATGACAGCCCTGTTCTATGAGATACTACATCTTGCACCGGTGCAATGCTTTTTCTGAAAACAGGTCAGTTTCTTATGAACCAAAATTTTGCTGAACTGGTTAGTTGTCTAGAAAATGGAGGCTGGAAGTAATTATTAGAAAGTGCTAATGTTCGCTGACCTATGATGAATAAGCCTTCCTTCCTGAGTAGATTAACTTCTCTTTGAGGAAAGAGCTAATGAAGTTCGACTCCCCAAAAGATCACAAGTAGACATTTGATTAAGCAAGCAAGTTAAAGCAAGAACTTGGCACATAACCATGAAAACAGTGTTTGTTAAGTCTCTTCACATTCCATTGAGCAATTGCATTCCTCTGGCAGCCAAAGGAATAACGCATTAAATGTTCAAGAACTGGAATTATGCAATCAACCATCAGAAATGCTCAAGCTGGCCTTCCAGTTAATCAGAGGGTAACTGTGTTATTCCTATCATCCGCTAAACATTTGTATGGCTTCTCTCTGTATCATTCCTGAAAAACAATTTTAGCAGATAGAATTTGTTCCAAAATGTAAGATGCAAGAAAGGGACATTTCTCTCCTTCCATAGCTCAAGTCAAATGTTGCTTGTCAAGATTAGCAAAAAGTCTAATAGTTGTTATTATTTTTTTTTTCTAGTTTCCTTCTCTTGTTTTGGATTAATGGAAACCAGGACAGAGAGAGGTGCAGCTCCTGTGCTGCCAAGATATACGTGGGCTGTCCGAAAAGTATCCAGCCATTGCTAATATATATTTTTCATATTACATGGTTGGATTCTTTCTGAACAGCCCTTGTAGATTGCCCATTCCAAACTGGACCAGTACACTGGGCCGCTGTGTTGTCAGCACCTGCCCTCTCTAGCCTTCATTGAGTATAATGAACTTCATAGCTGTCCCCAAGGGTGCAGTGTTTTGTGTTTTAAACTGATTGCCACATAGCCTCCCTGTGATGGGTGCTTCCAATTTGAGGTACAGCGTGGGAGTTGAGCCCTCTCTCCTCCTGGTCTTCAGAAACCCAACCCTGTGCCTGGCCTGGCCCCTCTGCCTGAGAGGTGGAGGGTGAAAAATCACCTTTTCGCTCTTTCCATAAGCATTTATTAAATGTTCTTGTAGTTTAGGTTCCCTTAAAAGCAGACTCTGAAACAAGAATCCAAGTGTAAGAAGTTTATTTGGGAAGTGATCCCAGGACACAGGGGTATGGAAGTGCAGAAGTGAGACAGGAAGGAAGGCAGACATGGGAGGGCATTATCAAGTAAGTTGCCACTGTGGGCACTCAGCCTCGCTGGGGAACCCTGGGAGACAGTGCAGAACATCCAGCATTGATCTATGGAGGGGTGAGGGAGCTGGGTTGTATCCACCAGCTCCTGAGGATCACTGGCTGAGTGCTGCCAGTGCTTCATTTCCCACACTGTCCAGTCTTCTGTGCCTGAGGCCAGACGGGCTCCCTCCTCTTGGGAGAAAGTCCTGTGGCACAGAGATGCAGACCCTGGCAGTTGGAAGTAGAACAAGCTTGCACTGCAATGGTGAGGCCCAAGGGGACAGTAATATGAAAAATCTCTGATTCCAGCATATGAGTAAGACACTGAAACAGGTGCTGTAGAAGAGTTTAATCATCTTCAATCAGTATGTTATGCAGATGCAGCTCCATTTTGGTGATGGGCTGCTCAAGGTTATGCCAATTGCTGCAGGAGAAACAGAAAAAGTAGGAAGCATGGTGTCTCCCTGATTCTGAGGAACTTCCTGTCTAAGGAAGGAAGACAACCCCAACTCCACCAAGCACCAATGGCTTACATATATACCAAATATAATGGTGCTATAGGCATCAGGGAGGGATTGGAATTCTTGGGAAAGGCTTCATGAAGAAAGTAGGAAATGAAGGAAGGGCAATGTTAGCAGAAAAGACCCCAAATCTATGTAGTCTGAGCAGCAATGAGAAAGTATGGAGACAAATTTAACCAGGCATGTTGGTAGATGGTGAGCAAGCCCATGAGAATAGAGGCGATGGGACATGTACAAGAGGAGTGGGAATCTTCACACTTGGCTGGGTAGTGCAGGACCAACATTGAGAGGCTTGAAAGCAAATAGAAAAAGTCTCAGCCTGTCATTGTCCTAGAAATGTCAGTCATTGCCTTGAGTCCACAATTCCTTTTGAAAAAGTCCACCCATGTCCACAATGCTGTTGAAGAAGTGGCTGTGTCATGGAAGATGACGTCTGACTGCGGTGGGAGTGCACCTTCCAAGCCTTCCAGCCTCAGGGGCACTTTCCTCCTTACTACAGCCGTGCATCGGGGCACACACACACTTGCACTCACACACCTGCACTGTCCTGGGCATGCAAAGGTAAATGAGGCAAGATCCTTGCCCTCAACTCATTTGCAGTCACATTGGGGGATACCAGCTTGCAAATGCAGGTAACTAGACAGAAGGCTTTGGCTGGAGGAGAATTACAAAAAAAAAAAAAAAATCACCCAAAGGAAGTTCTCTGCCAAGGGTGATTTAACATCTATGTGCCCCTTTCCCACCAAACAAATTAAGATCACTCTGCACACAAATGTGGCTGGTTTCCACCCAGGTACTATTTTCTTATCTCTTCCAGAAAACAGAACTTACTGAAAGATGACTGTTGAAAGAATATGATCAGAACCTGGCAGGTGCCCAGTTTATTATACTCAGCAGCTCTGACCAAAGAAAGAGAAGAGTAAATACCAAACCCAAGGGCAGTTGGTAAGACTATTGTGTATTTTTCCTTTTCTTTTTCCCCTTAAGGTATGTTTGCTCTTTTAAGAGCTGAGAACTTATTGTTTAAAGTATTTTTGGTCCAACGATTAGCCTGCTAAGAAAGTAGTGGGCATCTGCTGGTGGTAGTTGGGTTCTTGCCCAGTGTCTGTGACCTCTGTTTAGCACAGAAATAGGGTGTGATCCAGCATCCACGAGGCTTTCAGGAGTCTTGGGAAAAAATTGATAAAACACTGAGAGCTTTTTTTATATTATGGGAAATGATATGCCATATGACACCACTTCGTTTTTAAATATATAACCAAGTGCTACATACGAGTAAGTTACTGTATTAGGAATTCACTATTAGTAAAATTTGGTATCGTTCATTTAACATAGCACATTATTGGAGTTTGTTGAGAACAGTAATTTAGGATTCTGATAAAAGTTGGTTTCCACTAAATATTTCATGGCTCTGAAAAGGTTATATTGTCTCTGCACACAGGCAGACACTGTGAATTCCCACATGGCTTGGTGAAGACACTTTTATCGATGCCTCTCTAGTGTTGTTATCTATAGTTTTCAACTGCAGCCATTCTTGCTGCTTAAATATGCATCATTGTTAGCTCAAATTCATCTTAATCCACTTTCTTTTATATTTGGTGGATTTTCCTTTGTGGAAAAATGCCATTTGGGTTTGGGTCTCCCCAGAAGAGGAGGAGCTAAGCTAAAAGTATGAGTGCAAGTGGTTTATTTGAGGGGTGAGACCAGGAAGCCCTGGAAGGAAGACAGGGGAGGGAGGAAAATCAATAAAGGAGTGTTTTAATGAAAAGAATTACTGTTGAGGGCAACTGGAGCTCAGGCCTTGGGGATCCTGGGAACACTTTGCAGAACATGCCTCAGTGTTGTCCTACCCAAGAGGTTAAGAGGTTGGGGTATTTATTCAACATTTTCCACCTTATGTTTGTTGAGGACTGCTTCTAGAGGCATGAACTCACAGATGCCTCTAGGCTGCCCTGCATGTTGGAACATGCTACCGAAGCCAGAGAAAGCCCTCAGGGAGGGCAGGGGTGCTTGGTGAGAGGCTGTCAGTGAGGAGAAGATTCGGAAAAGAGTGCTAACAGTAATTGGACAGTGCGTGGGTGCTCTGACAGCATCTGCTGTGGATGCTTATTTCCATGAACTGTATTTAGGGCCCTTGATTTTCTAATCACTTGATTTTGAAACACACACGTGGTGCATTTCAATGTGCCATATAAGCCCATATGGCTAAGTAGTCAGAGAAAACATTATGTAAGGATGTAATCTTAAAACTCCAACCTGGATGATGGGAAGAAGCCAGCCATAGGAACAGTGAGGCAAAGTGTCATGCATCATTTTACCCATTTAAATTCTGAGTCTAAATCAAGGAAATTTAAATCCTGGATTGCTTGAAGACTAATTCTTGGCAATCATATTCTCATTCAGAATAAACTTTTTTAGCTATTTCTTTCAGAATAAATGTTCAAATTTTCCATTTGATACCATTTGAATGTTCACGCTTCTTCTCTTGTCTAGTCAGTTTATCTATATTCACCATTAGTCAAATTTCCCAATCTCATTTTCACCAAATACTCTTTTGACAGTTCCCATTTTCAAGGCTAGGTTTCTCTGGTCCCCTTCAGATTTTCATGGAAACTATAGTACCTTAAAAAAAAAATAAAATAAAATCTCATTCAAGACCCAGAAAGCCTCAATCCCTCTAGAGATGGCAAGGAGCACAATTTGGATACCTGGGACTGGACTTGTTCAAACCTTTCTGTTAATAGTTACAAACATCCTGACTTTGTCTATCCTCTCAGGCACTAGTTCTGAAGTTCCTGAATGCTTTCTGTAATTACATGGCATCAAAAAGAAATTAGATGGGGTTTCGAAGGGATATATTCCCCAAAGTCCCTGAGTCTCAGACTTTTCTTGCCATGGAGTCACTGTCAAAATTGTCTGAATCACCTATTTCTTCTTTCCGGGGCAGCACACTCCCAAGGAACATGTGGCTTCACTCCTCAACAAGTTCAGTAAACAGTGTTGGAGAGAATACTAACAGTTTTAACCAAGTATGAAGACGGGTAAGATCTCACTTGTTCTAAGATTTCCTGAAATCATCCAGGTGAAAACAGCATCTCTTGCCATCACGAGCCACCAGTGACAGATGGTGGCTTCTCTCTCTGTCGTGTTCTGCAGCAACCCGTCTTCCCCCCCTTGTGATTCTGTGGACACAGCTGACTTTTGAAAGAATCATTTTCTCCTACATGTATTTTGAGTTGTTATCATCTCTGCATATGATTGCTTTCTATCTCCTGGAGATTCTGCACAATTTATGTTCCTCTGCCGGAAACCTTTATTTATTTTTTTATATACTATTATGGATTATTTTCATCAATTTTTCTTTCATTGCAAAAGTTTTACAATGGGAGTAGACGTCGATACTCAGTTTGTAAATTGATATAATTTTCAATAACCCATTACATATGATTTTTTTTTGTATATCCAGCAACACAAAGTTGGCTCTCAATAAAGGTAGAATTAATAAAATGTTTAATTCATTGTTTTTTTAAGAAGACCCAACCTAGCAAAGCCGGAAGCAAACTTAAAACATGTATGTTAAAGGAATTCTAGGTTTCAGGATTTTTGACCTTGTATCTGAAATCCTGTATTGACTTAGGATTGTGCTGAGTAGTAGGGAAAAGAAGTCCTTTTTTCACATAGCCACTTGGAGAAAACAACAAACCTTCAAAGTTGTAAACCAGTATTTTAATCTGTATATGATTCCTGCCTAATGCCTCTCATTTAGTGATATTCCAGCCTTTTCTTTTTAATACTTCCAGTGACAGCAAACTCATGATCCCATCATGAGACAATTCAAACCCATTACAGAAAGTTTTAATTATTAAAAGGAGGTGTTCAGGAGCCAAATTATGAATTATGAATTGTTTTAAATGTTGTGCTAAAAAATGTGGATATCTTTCTGTGTCAGTTATCCTGATTAAGGGAACTCTGCAAATAAGCCATGTTATCAACCCAAATGGAAAAAGAAAACCATTAACATTGAGCCTCAATGTCCCCTGGCATTTGTGAAGTCTTAATTCTCTATCCAACCATGTTTGTTTACCTAGCAAAGGTACCCACTTGGGTACCTCCCTCATTGACATACTATGAATGGGTATGATTTAGTAAGCATTAATATATTGTCCAGAATAGATTTATTCTCTCTTCAACTTGTAGCTATGATAAATCATTATGGCCCAAAGGAATATTTTCCTAGTTCTTTTGTAATAGTCGTGTTGCCCAAGGAGAGAAATCTTAGAGGTGATCACCCTGAGCCATCTGCTCTCAGTATGTGATACAGCATAGTTTCCTATGTCCTGACTTTGATTATAGTGTCAGAATCCTACCAGGGACTCTTATGATGATTGCTTTAGGGTAGAATTCAAAATATATTATTTGCCTTGTTTAACCTCATATCATAAGACTGAAGAGAGATTATCAAGGCAAGCCTTGAGATGTCATGGTTAATAATTTGGCAAGCATGATCAACATCTAAGGTTAATCCCCAAGTGGCATGTGGAGGGAAAAGAAATATTCTAAGCCTCCTTGACATCCTTAATATTTATGTTATTGCTGCCTTCATTTAGGCCCTCTTCATTTCTAATCGCATGACAGCTGTAGCTTACTGTTCTCTCTGGCTTCAGCCTTGCCACGTCTCATCCATTCCCTCTGGCAGCTGGAGTGCTCTTTCTCAAATGCAAACCTGCTTATGTTACTCTGCTGCTTAATTGCTTCCTTGCCTTCTGGATAAAATTCAAGTTCCTTATTATGGAATACAAAGCCTGCAGGCCAATTTCTCCCTCCACATGTCTTCTCATTACCTTTTAATCCTTCAAGTGTGTGGAATTACCTTTTTTCTCTCTCTCTTTGAGACAGGGTCTTGCTCTGTTGTCCCGGCTACAGTGCAGTGACATCATCATAGCTCACTGCAACCTCAAACTTCTGGGTTCAAGCAATTCTCCTGTTCCACCCTCCTGAATAGCTGGGACTACAGGTGCATGCCACCATGCCTGGCTAATTTTTCTGTTTTTGTAGAGATGGGGTCTTGCTCTTGCTCAGGCTGGTTTCAAACTCCTGGCCTCAAGCTATACTCCTGCCTCGGCCTCCCAAAGTGCTAGGATTACAAGCATGAGCCATCACTCTTAGCCTGGAATTACTTTTGATCCTGGACTATTTATGCTCCCTGGTGCTCTCTTCCTCTCTGTTTTAAGCTGCACTTAAGCCCTACTGCATTGTCCCCTAGAAGCTTTTGTTTTCCCTGAAATTTTCTCCCCTACCAAGATAGGTTTGTGTTCTGTCTGCAGTTCTGTTGCACCTTGAGCTTATCTCAAATCCTAGCACAATTCAGTCAGTATTGTAATTGTTTTCTAGTTTACATCCTCCCCATAACTAGAGCTCATGGAGAGAACAGGTTAGATTTTATTTCTATCTATAAGTCTGGGGCGTAACACACTGTACTTGCCCCATATTGCAAATGCATGATGAATGCAGATGCTCCAACACAGAAGTGAATAATTATTTGGCACTCTGGAAAATGTAATTTCACTGCTAAGGACCATTCTGCAGAATACATCTTTTGAGTAAACTCTAAATGACTAAATAAGAGTTACTTTTAGTGAAAGCACCAAAATATGAAGAATATCTCTGATGATTTGCCCCTGGAGTTATGTTTTTGTCTTAATTTTTTTTATAGTTTCAAATTTCCCTATAAGGAGCCATACAGATTGAATTTATAATCAAAAACAAATATTTTAAAACAGCATATATTATTTTGTGTTTGCATTGTACCTTTATGACAAATGTTTGCAGAGCAAAAGAACTATTTGCTCCTCGAGTGGCTGTCAGTTGTTTTTCTCTACGGTTGAAATGATGGGTGAATTTTTTCTTCTTTCTAATTTGCAGGGGTTTTTTTATCTGTATAATTATGTAGTCCTTTTATAAGAAGAAATTTATTTGAGTATTAAAAAATTTAATAAATGACATGATCATTAATAATTTGAATAATCAAATAAACAACTCCTGTCAAGAGAATATTACATTTAATCAGATATTGTCAGGCATTGTCAAGCTACTTAAGCTGTTTGTCATTTTGAGAGCACGTGGAAAACAATATAAATATTGATGTCTACCTTTTAAAATGGAGAAAAATATGATTCGGGATATTATAAAACTGGAAAATTTGTTTTAGACCTTTTGGAAGCTCAGTATACCTTTGCACTGGGAACAGAACTTAAGTCCAGTAGTGAATTATGGAGTTGGTTTTTAATGGAATATAACTGTCTATTTTTGCTGCTAAATCTATTATCCTTTAGTACATAATACACCGGAGATTAAGATCCCATATATTCAGCAAAGGTTTACTGTGAAGCAGTAAAAATAGATTTAGTCATAATTTATACAGGTACATATTTATAGGTAGAGTATGTTTGTAAAAATGGCAATGAGAGAAATTGAGAAACCAATATTATTTTATAATATTATTCCATTTTATTTTCTTCTTTAAACCCATATGCTATGCATTTATGAAGAGTTAAAACCAAACATTTCTTCAAAATTTATTAAACAGTTAAGAGTTCCCCAATTGCATTTGGCAAGAGCTCAATCAGTTACATATAGTTATTTATTGAAAAGGAAATTAGATTTTTTTTTCGCTGTTATGCGTTTACTTTTGTAAGCAAAGTAATGTTAAGTTCTTAGAGATTTTTGCATATCATCAATTATTATAAACCAAAAATACAATTTATAATTTTTTTTTTTTTTAAGAGACAGTCTTGTTGTTGCCCAGGCTGGAGCCCAGTGGTGCAATTGTAACTCACTGCAGCCTCCAACTGCTAGGCTCATGCGATCCTTTTGCCTCAGCCTCCCAAGTAGCTTGCCAAGTGACATAGCTAACTAAGTCAAAGAGCTAAAATGATATTAAAAAACCAAGCGTATATTTAGTAATATTTTTATAGCAAATTCAAAGCCTATCAATTCTATGTCACTTAGAAAGACACAGGAAAATTAGAGATTGAACAGAGATCAACAAGTGTCTGTTGGTCTCACTTTTATGAACTCTGAAATCCTTTGGCTGTACTTCCAGGTGTCTGTCCCGAAAGCTAGAAACTAAAACTAATGACTTTCTATTACCAGAGCTTAGTCCCTGGTAATAAAATTGCTATGGCCCTAGGAATTCTTGAGGGTAATTTACTGATGATAACAAGCAATGTGACTTGCAATCACTTGGTAATGTTGTTAGCAATGTGAAGCCCAGTATCCAGGAAGGGGCAATACTATCTATCTAAGTGCATTTTTCATTAAGGTAATTATAGGCAGGGCTGTTGCATCTCACAATTCCAGGAGACATTGTTCATATAGAATTCTATGTTAATGGAGCCTCCTGGAGTTGTACAATGCATTGGTCAAAACAAACAAACAAACAAACAAACAAAAAAACCCTTTCTCCTAGGGTGCAAATGTCATATTTTCCCCCTAATTTTAGCCCTTTTCCTTAGTAGTATTTCACTTCTTATGGTAAGCATTGGGATGGAAAAGTCTTGAGGAGTCTACAGACTTTGTGCTTCCACTGAGAGTTTTGACCAATAGAAGGTCCTTTCTATCATTTTCCATTTAGCACTTGGCATCTTGTAATCTTCAGTGCCTCTCCATAGGTCCTGAAGAATCTCCACTTCCCGAGATATTTCAGAACTAAGAAAATAACAAATTGACATAGCTTCTGATCAGTACCCAGCAAGTTGTCTCTACCCTGGCTGCCCATTAATACCCTGGGGTGTTTAAAAAAAATCCTTTACTGTGTTCCCATTCCTAGGATCTAACTTAACTGATCTAAGGTAGAAGGGACAAGCTATGAGCATTTTTAAAAAGCTCCCCAGATGGTTCTAATAGTAGCCTGGGTTGAGACCCATAAACCTAGGAAATAATTAAAAAGTGTCCTAAGACAAAGGTTATTACTAAGTACAGTAGTTCTGTTTGGTAGATAAGGAACATGAAAGGGCTTAAAATTGCTCTACCAAAAGAATGTAAGATCGTAATAGATTTGACTCCTTGACTTACCTAATTTGCCTCTGTCTCCTTCATTCCTCCAAAATGGCTCTTGCCTAGGTCCACAAATACTTCCAAAGTGCCAAATCCATTAGACCATGGATTCTCAACTTTGTACATAAGAATTCTCAGGAAGTGTTTTAAAATCCAAACACTGGTCCATACCTAAGCCCAATTAAATCAGAACTTTTGTAGATGGTGCCTAGACATCTGTATTTTCTTAATGTTCTCCAGGTCATTTCAAAATGTGGCCAAGGTTTAGAAATGACTGCACTAGTCACAGTTAGTCAATATTGTACTAAACTTCTCAGCAATTTAAAAAATATTATTTTTTATTTTTTATGGATACATAATAGTTGCACATATTTATGGGGTACATGTGATATTTTGATACAAGCATACAATGTGTAATGGTCAAATCAAGGT